AATCCGGAGAGACTTGTTCGATAGAGAAGGTTTCGGGTCAGAAGGGTCCTTTCGGCTTTGTCCGCTGTCCCTCATTGTTCCTGCTGATGCAGAAGCTCCTCCATCTCCCAAGATGGAAAAATTATAAGGCATGTTTGTTTGTGTTTCTAATACTTTCCTTTTTTACTGGGTCGGGTAGTTGGCCCTCCGCAAACTGTCACTTTTCAGGTGGCCAGACCTATGCACCTTTAGTCACCTCTTACGACACGCAGTATCACGGCAGGTGTATTCTTTACTCCCCCATAGAAAAACTATGGGGCCCCCCACCTGCAGGGGTCATTTTCAGGTAAATTGGCCCAAAATCAGGTAGTACAAAGACAAAGAAGAAGAAAAAAGATGATCCTTGCCCCACCGAACGCGCTTGCTTTCCGTGATATTGGGTAATTATATTTTGAAAACTTGTTTGTGCATGCACATGAGTGTGTGTGTGTGTCTGTGGGTGCATGTTGCCATGCTCTCGCATGTGCCAATATATGTAATATGTGCGTGGGGAAGGAAGGGGGAGTATGAGTGTGCACAAGTTACAATGAACAGTGTGTATGAAATGAAGCGAGGTTGTTTTTTTGTTTTTTTATCATTTTATGGACTATCGTTCAAGGCACCTATCATTCAGTATTGAATCTGGAATTGAGCGCAGGGTGATTGCCAAACTGACTTCAAAACCCCTAGCCCACACAAATAGAAACTAAATTAAGACATAATTTTCCCGACACTAGCATAGGACATCGATAAGTCCTTCGTGACTTTGGTATGACAGACAATTAATTTTAACTAGTTTTACCCTAAAAATACAAAATGAATCCTGATCTGGGCCTGAGGAGAGGCAAAAAGAACATCAACTGCCAAAACCATGTTTGGTTTCAGCAGTCACGGATTTTAAAAAGTATGCAAGACAAAACTTATTTATAAAACCTTTATAGTTAGGCTCCCGGCAGAGCAAAAAGTGAAAATAAAAGAGAGCGTGTACCGATAGAGCCGGAGCTGGAAGGACTGTGAGAGTGTGGGATGTAGTGATGCTGAAAACCTAGCAATCAGTGAATCACTGCATCATGGACTAAGTATTGATTTTTTTCAAAATTCTAAATCACAGTACCAGTATTTAATAAGCAACAAGTCATCATGATGCATAGGCATCCAACATAGAGCTTTCCGAGGGTTGAAAATGGCATTTCCTCATTGCCACTATTCAATTTGTCATCACTGACAAATCCAACAAATCCGGGAACACCAACCTTGAAGATACAATCATCAAGCCTGTGCTCTAATGTTCCCTCATTTACGCACTCGATTGTCGAATGTCAAAACCACTTCCATTTATCGTTTTTATTTTAGCATCAGTTTCTTGCACAGCGGCCTTTTCCTGCTGCCGTAGACTTTATTGCATCAAATACCTCCCCTCAATTCCGACGCCCTGCAACACTCCTTCCATGAATGAACTTTGATTAGGCTTTCCCCAACAACCAAAGGCCGGTCCCTTGCTCATGCCATATTCACGAACTCTCACAGGTTCATTGACATTGCGGTCACGATGACGGGCCCGACAATCTAGAAATTGGAGGACGTGTGTTTTCTTTTTCTTCCTATTTTTTGTCATTATAGTGACATCAGTGAGAATGTCGATTTAATGTTTATGGCTGCACTGTGTTTTTTATGCACAAACTACAGGTTACAAATTTTTTATTAACTGTAAATCTAACGTCAACGAACTATCATTGGACAATTCTGAGATGTAAAGAAAGCGAAAGTAGATTTTGATTTTCCCAATGGAGTCTCAGTATTACACCTACACTTCCGATTGCCGCCACAGCCGCTCATTTGCACGAAACGTACTCTCGGACTGGGGAAAGCCGAAAGTAATATCACAAACGCGACCAGTAAAATATTAACTCAGATTTGGTTTCGAGGACTTTGTGCATTTTCTCAGGTCCCGGGCAATAAATTCCCGCAGTCCCCCTGCGTAGAATCCTTATTAGGTACTGACCAAATCTCTAGACCAAGACAGATTTTAGAATATTTTGCTTCGACACTGATTTTCCTTCTAAATTCACAATTCTGTTTTCCGGATAAATAAATTAAATGCACAGATTTTCCAGTCGCAGCAAAAAACTGAAGATAGACAGAAAGAAAGAATGAATGAAAAGAAGGAGGAAGACTATCTATCATGAGTAGACAGATTTCAGCCAATATGCACGTGAAAAACTATTGCCGACTGAACGGCACAGATAGACAATGGTCGAGTGTACGAAATGCGCAATCTGGCAGTTTCTAATACAACTTATTGCCGAGAGTTGCCGTAAATATCTGATAAGTTACGGAGGCAAGTGCTGATCTCTCTCTCTCTCTCAACGCATAAAGTTGATATGATGATGCGGCAAGTACAGAACTTTCGGAATGTACGGATTTCCGTAAAAACGAAGAATGGAGGCACTGCAGAATGTTTTTTTTCTTTTTATTCTCTCAGCACCCATCGAAAATCCGGTAGTTTTGACACCTTATCGGTATGTCGGTAGAACAGGCCCAAAAATCAGTAGATTTAGGCAGCCCTGGAACTGCCAAATTTCAAATCTCTATCTCAATTCCAAGACCCCCTGGCTATGGAAACCATATTTTCGTCAAATATTGTCTTATTTACTTCATTTTTTTCCCCAAACTGTAGTGAAATGGTGATAGTTTTTGGAAATTATGTTAACTCAATTTAGAAATTTCCTTCATATGACTGATTCTGATCGGGGTCACATATATATAGTCAAGTTTTAGTTCAGTTTTTACGGTGCTCACAACTGCATAAGGTTACATGAGCGCTAAGGGGTGGATGTCAACAGAGAAGTCCAAACGGGGAATCAGGATTACTCTGCTCACCTCTCTAGCCTCAACAGCACAAAGTCTGCTTCAACTATCAAGGCACCCCGGAAAGAGATGTTCCCAAGAGAGTGACAAACATAAAAAAGTAGAGGTAAAATGACGATAGTAAGGATGAGGAAAGAAAAAGCAGCAGTTCCCCCTATGTTGTTCCGGCACAGTATGAGAGCATAGCATTGATAAATCAGCCCATTTGCAATTCTACTGTGCATAAGAACATTTCAATATTCCCCCTTTGGGAATGGCCTAAAGACAACTTCAGTCAGTAGCACTGCCCTAGTGGGGGGGCTAATTCTGCCGTCGTAAGGGAAAACGACGAATGGTCAACATTTTTCGATTTTGGTATTTTTATATATTTCATAGATATATTTCATAGAGTATTTAATGCTGCATCTAATGGTGTAAAAAGTTTTTTCGTATCCTAATCCGTAGTTGCGTAATTGAGTGTTCGTCGTTTTCCCGTACACTGGCAAGCTCCGAGCCAGAGCTCAGTGTAAGGGAGAACGGCGAATGGTCGATCGTTCAAGGATCACTGCTCGTTTGGCGTTGTCCCCTGGTCTCTGCCGTTGGGCAAATTCGGCATGGGCGACGAATGACAATTGGCCACTGTTGCGTCAGTACAAACATACTAGGTTTTTTGCAAACAAATACACCACAACCCCCTCCCCCACAGTAGAATCGACCAGGGTTATAAGAATGTATCACTTGGTGTGTCTTTCTGTCTGTCTTCCCGTATTAGGCCTATGCTGATGGTGTGAATTGACAAGAGTAGGCGGGAGAGAAGGGAAAACGGATGGGAACAGAGGGAAAGGGGTGGGGATGGGAGGATCAAAAAAGTATTCAGGGAGAAATTTATTAGCACTGCATATTAGTGTCCGCCAGATGTTCACAGACTAACGTCAGGTTAGTTTGCTGTCCAGTCATTTGACATCCCAAATCCCAACGATGGTTATTGTGCCGCAATTTGTCTAGCACGTGTCACTGGTCGACATCGTTACAGAATTACCAAGCAATTAATGACACTGCATTATGAAAGTAAATTTCTTAGTCAAACTTAAAAAGTGGACGTATTGTGTCGACACTTAGTCTTGCTTTACGATTATTTATGACTTGATGGACGTTGCGATAGAGCATAATAATGTCTTTCAGATTCAAACTGTCCTTGTCGATCTCTACTTTGTGGTATGTTTTCCGATCCCATCAACTGAATCCTTTATTCAATACAAAGCGTCGCTTTACCTCTCCTGAAAACGTTTGTGAAACAGTCTTGTCAGATTGTTACATTTCTTACGTGAAAGTTTGACTTTGCAAAGATCTGATCGTATTATTGACATTGTAACATTGTTGATTCCTTTGGTCGTGCACGGAAAATTTTGCAGTTGGCGAAAATAAAAGTAAAACTCACTTCTGAAGAGAATACAATAGAGAGATATCATGGATACCAAACTTTGGTTCCGAATGAGACAGTTTTAAATCAAGCTGTTGAAAATGTGTGCACATCTGATTTGTCCACTGACTGTGTAGTATTTAACCAAGCGAGGAAGGGAAAAGAAGGACGTTTACCGAGTTATAGTTGGGATATAACAAACACCTAACTTTATACGTATAATAGCTAGTTTGTATGTCAATGCGTCACAACTGACCGTCGCCTACGCCCATAAACGTTCACGAGTGTAAAGGAGAACGACGAACCGTACCATTCGTCGTTTTCGCTTACATCGCAAGGTTCACCTGCGGGTGCGCAGTGTAAGGGAGAACGACGAATGTCGAATAACTTTGCTACTTTATAACCTAAACCATTCAAACTTTAGAAACTGCTTTATGAACACCTCAATCAGATATCTGGTGAATTACAGCTTGAAAGAGTGAAAAATAGAAGAGTTATAACATGAAAACTGTTTTTGCCTCTCCTGAAAAATTTGCCTCGCTACCTGCGCAGGACCATTCGTCGTTTTCCCTTACGACGGCAGAGTTACCTGTCATAGAAACTGAAAACAGCACATAAAGCCTGACCGCATTCATGAATGCACAAACAGACACATACAGACTGAAAAAAAAGACCCAAAAATTTAAGCTATCTGCACAACACCTTTCATACAAACCTGATTGAAAGTAGTGGTCATAGACGTTGACAATATTTCTATGACCCTTGAGGGTTTCCAGCATCTTGACTTCAATCAAAGCCTAAGAAACAAGATACAGACCTAGTATTAGAATACACTGCAGAGCAAAACAAACAGCAGCAATCCCAATTAATCATGTACAACAAGAAAAATCCACTCATCAATTGTAAGGGCTTTGTAGTATCTTCACAACCCCCCCCCCCCTACCATTTTAATATATCCACAACATGGTGTTGCTGCGTAATGGATACCATCTCTTTAAAAGTTTACTGAGCAGGTTCAGTCGGAACGCTGGTCATCAATGCTGATGATCCTGGTTCAAACCCCCTAATGGGACATTCTTGAACTTGGATTATTTGGGCAATTCCTCATTGGCTCACTACTGTCTGAGACAGATGTTCAACTCAGCCCTCCCGCCAATCTTACCTTACAATCTTGAAGTTAAAAGGAGAGGAAAACCTGTACATGCCACACTAATAACTCGGGACACAGGCATTATTATTCAGGAAAGATATCCTCACGACACCATCTGTTTGAGGGATCCATTATTTCAAAACACATGAATTCAACTTCAGAATTCTAGAGTGTCCCTTAAACATCAAACTCTAGCACCCACTTTCCAAGTACCACGTTAATTTTTTTGAAAGAAAGACATTCTCATACATGTATATGATATCTCTTATACATATTCTACACGGCGCACCGGCAGTTGAATTTTAGTTGCCGCGGGGGGTTCCCCGCTGGGCGCCTTATCACGTCGGGGTCATGGGGGTCAGCTCCCTGTCGTCGATCTGTCTGGGCCGACCTAATTTTTTGTACTTTTCAAAGTACAATTTAAGGTGTATCCTTGTATTTATGGTAATTCTCATTTAGTGCACCCAAAGCACGCATTTCTGCTCTTGAGACTAAAAAAAGAACGGACGTTGTAACTTGTCTGGTTATTTCGTTAGATGCGCTGGAGTCTGCAATGCTACATTGTAATTTTTTGGGGACTAGCGTGAATGAAAAAAATCAATATCAAACAAAGGCATCGTCAAAATCTGTTAAACTTTTGGAACATGAACGACATAACATTGGTGCAGATACTCAGAAAAAATGGTATCTGCGCATATAATAGAAGGCTGTAATTTTACAATTTTATCCATCAGGCACACAATTCGCTATGAAGTAATTCCTCCAAATACAACTTTATGTGTCTAATATAATCGTGAATATTCGCATATTTTCTCGAAAGTTTATAAAAGTTACCATGAAGTTTCTCTATGAAAAGTACAAATCGATTTTAGTGCTAGAATACATCTTCAACGTAGGTCTAATACATAAACAGTATCTGTTACACTCCAGAAATTCCTTACTTTTCTTAAAACGCTAAGTCTAGGTTTTGTAAGTTGACTGAATAATAGGGATGACTTCTCGTAATTGGGTTATAAGAATAATTTCTAGCTTTCCAGGGACACTGAATCAGCACCAGACTTTTCCAGCTTTTTTTTTCGTTTCTATGACCATTTGCAATAACTGACAATGTGACTGATTTCTTAACATTCATAATTGTGTCCGTGCATATTTCCTACACAAAAACTAAGAATGAATGTTTTAGCTGTCATTTTTTAAATTCCATACAAGAAGTTTATCTCTACCCATGTATCTACACGGTTTTGTGGTTTTTTAAATCGCTTATATTATATCTTTTTAGTTGTATGCAGGCTGCCACAGACATAGCATGATTCATGAACAAACGCAGAGTAACTTTCTCTTGTTTAATAGTAAAATAAGAGCTAACGCTGATCGTCTTTAGTTAAAAAATGCAGATGTGCATCTTTCTTCTCTTATAACTTGACTATTACTACTCGTGCAGATTTAACATTTCTCATGGTAAAAGACATGATATTCGTAGTCAGTTTAACACAGATTTTGGAGAGATCTCTCGAGCCTTTTTTAAATTACCAATCATTTATTCATAAGTTTGTAACTAAAATAGGACAAATTGGGTACTCTACAAACACTTGTCTAGAACAAAAACTAAGGCACAGAAACTAACCATTCTAACACAGAATAAATCTCAAGACATGGAGCTTTTAGTACATCCGCGTAATGGTTTGCTATGTGGAATGGGGAAGAAGTTACATCGTTTTAAACATAGTCAAAAATGCGAACTTCCTGACCGACACCGGCAAAGTCGCTTCAGGGCTCATTAACCCGGTGACCCCGAGCCGGGGAGCTCCGGCGGGCTGCTCAGTCACGCGAACTAAAAGTAACGGAATCGGGCGAAAAGTGACGCCGTGTCTAGTACACAGTATACTGATTATATTGTAATATCTAGTTTTATCACTCCATTAACACCCAAATATACATATATGTAGAATTGAAGCTTACTCACATTATCCACCAAATTGGATGCTTCTTTCTTAAGTGACTCTTCATAATTCTTCTTCACGGATGATGATGGAAGGCTACCATACAAAGGACTGTTGCTGTCTTTTATTTTCCAATGCAGATGGTAACGCAATTCTTTATAATTCTCACCGGACTCCAAAACTTCTATTCGCTTTAAAGCGAAAGAATCTTGGTTGTTCTGTATCTCCTTCCGCTGCTGGAAAAAGAGGTAAATTTGTGCAGTTGAACAAATACTCCTCCAAGCATAGGTCAAGTTTCTTACATATTTATTCACAGATCTTATCAGACACAAAAACAGTTAACCTAAATGGGAAAGCAGCTGCATTCTGAAACTAAAACTATCAAATCAGTTTCTCAAATTTGTCATTGTTGTCTTTGCTTACACAGATAAACTATCCTGTTCTCAGACAAAACACTTGACTTGAGCAGTCTCCCTACCCCATTCTAGCTCCCTCTCTCTTCACTGCTCCTCATTCGGCCTCTCTACTCTCATCATCCTCCTCCTCTATCTCTTTCTCAGCATCCCCAGACTGTATCATATAAGTTCTCAATCAAAAGCATATCCATCTAGGTGTACCTGGTAGGGCCTGCATAAAAACTGATTTCTAAAAAGGTTATGGAGTTATTTCAAGACGTCCTCAAGGAAATTATACTATCTTTAGATGAAACCGTGAGAATGCAGACAATGACAGTTAAATTTGGGAGTTTTAAGCTACTCCCCCTGAGCCGAGGGGTTACAATATTATGTGTCAATTTTTTCCTCTCGACTTGGGTTTTGAGTGTCCCATGTCAGAATCCCCGCAACTTCCTGCTGATTAGGAATTTAAGGTATACGCGAGACAAAAGATTAAGGAGTAGAATACGATCAATGTATTTTTAAAACTTTCACCTGTTTGTCATCTTTCTATCTCCAACCCATCTACATAGGTCCAAACCTACCTGTCACTAACATTATCAACCTCCTCATGTGTCTGCTTACTTAGCTAATCCCGCACTTTGTCTTGATGCATAAGAATAGGTTAGCACCAGCACCATCACCTTGGTCATCCCCTTACATTCATCATATTCAATGTCGGAATCATTGCTCTCAGCTCCTAGACCTTCTTCTCTATTCTAAACAACTCAATCGTCATCAACGTCAGTATATATGTCTTACTGCAAAGCCATGATTGTGATTGCTAATATTATTAACATGCTCATCATATATGCATATATTACATGCATACTAAATTACTGAAATACCGAGGATCTCGAACATTCCACCAGGAAAGAAAAACTTGTTTACAGAAACTAAAACTATCACATCAATTTCTCAAATTTATCATTTCAGTTTTTGCTCACTCAGATAAACTAGCCTGTTCTCAGACAAAACTTCTGTCTTGGTTAGCCTCCACACCCTGAAAGCAGAAATATACTTACACATATACAGCTATTACATTATGGAAGGTTGTTTCCATCCTTGTCAAAAATTTTTTGGGACAGGGAATCCATATAAGTAACAATACCTCTGTATAACTTATAGAACTTCAGACGATCCTGCGAACGTGTATTGAAAAAAATATTCAGGATTGAGAGCATCATGACAATGTCTCTGTCCGAGGGATCCCTTACTGCAAGACTCAAAAATTCCACTTTAGAGTTCTACACTGTTCATTGAACACTAAACCTTGGCACCCATTTTCTTTTCTTGCAGTAATAAAAATATTTTCATTCACATATATTGTCGGCCATATGATAAAAAGTCATAAACCCTAAAAGATAAATTTTTCAGGAGAGAGAAAAAAACTGTTTCATTCTCTAAAAAATTACATACATAATGAAAGATGGGAGAGGCGTATCTGATTGGTTGAGACAAATCATTTTGTGAAATGGTGCTTATAATGAGATAATTGGCTAGGTACATTGTTCTATCCCTTTTTTACTCCGATACATAGAACTAAGCTATCACACACTGCGGTCTATTACGTCAAAAGCGTGCAGCGTGGTTTTCTAGAGGACAAATCCCCCTGCAGCTTTTCACAGCTTTCTTAGATATTAATAATGGTTTGTAGACCTGTAAGGGATAAAACATCAAATAGAATATTACACTGTCAGACAAAGAGAAAAGGGTCAAATAGAAACCGTTTTATCAGTTTATTACAGACATCGTCAAACTACTCTTGGCAATTTTTAGTACATTCTTACACATAAAAAGTATCCACATGACGACGTGTTCTTGTCACATTTATTCATCACACACACACACACACACACACACACACACACACACACACACACACACACACACACACACACACTCGTGCACACAGTCAAATATATTTCAAAATACTTTCACAAATTGATGCTCTAACGTATCATAAAAAACATGGGCCTACCGATTTAAGCCCTTGTAAATGTTGGTATCTTGTACTTGTGATAAGTCTTCTTTGTAAGTGTAGTGCAGGGGCAGTGGTGCGTGATGGCATGTGGTTGCAGGGTTTGGGCATGTCTTGCCAGTCGTCACAGAAAACGAGCTTGTACTGAATATACCCTTGTGAGGAATAGCGGAGAGCTCGTATGTCACCCACCTTTGTGTCCCCGGCCTTTCTTCCTGGTCCAACGGTCAAGTATTCTTGTACTGATGAATATTTTCTGAAGGAAGTATAGTCTAGGCATTTGCCTTCCTATGGCTGAAGACTTTGGCACGCCAGTCTGAAGACATTAGCATAGTCCGAAGGTACGTGTATAAGAGCGTTTTCGAGGGATCACTCAATGACGCTATGAACACTATCGAACTCCATTTGAGTGTGACTCTTTGTGAGATATTTCTGTTCTATTGTGATCTTGAACTCACGAACTAGAGCTGAGATGACACCGGCAAGTGTGGGGGTTTTATTTTGGTAAAGGCATCCATCACTGTACAGTATCATTCTGCCATAGGTTTTGGCAAGGGATCGTATGTAGTTAAGTCTATGATGCAAGTTGAAAATTCATCAGAAGTTAATCCGCCTTCCCCCTCATTCTAGACATAACATTTCACATCCCGGGTTACCATATTGTAGACAGTAAAGTTACGCACAGCAAGCTTTGTTCTATAGTACAGAGCGGGGGCCTTGAGCATGAGACACAACAAGACACATTGAAGATCCATGCAGACACAGCCCCCTCTGTCTGATGGTTCCTTTGTTTACGTCTCCAGGGTTATCTTTTTTTCTATTTCTTTCTCTAGCCTCGCTGCATCTTTGGTTTCTTTGTGAACTACCCACGCACCTTCCGTTACGTTGCCTGTTCGATACCCGAAGCAAAAGTCAGATTGGACTTTTTGGCTGGAACAATGCAAAATTATTTTGGTTAAATTCTTTCCTGAATAGGTTGAGCCCCACAGTAGCTTGGTTTTACTTTCTACATTTTATTACGTAAAGTCTATATACGTCCGTCAAACTTCTATACATTGGTTCCAAATACAACTTCAAGGAACTCTGTCTGCAATAATGACTGGGAACTTTTGGGAGACATTGTAGAAATTGCTCATTCAAGAATATTTTGGACTCTGCTGCTCTGTCGGAGTGTGAAGTAGACCTCAATGATTTGTTGTTTCTTTGCGTCGATCCTATTTGACGTTTGACAAACTGAAATCAAGTACTTCACTCACTGTTATTCTCAGGCTGTTCTTTCTGTTTTTGCGACTGCAAGGTGAGAGCTTCTAATATTTTGCCTCTGCTGAGGTGTTCCATTTTACACATAGTTTGGACAGAGTGTAGCAATACAATAAGTAATGGAACTGTTGTGCTAGTGTGTAAGATAAAGGAAAAGGACGCGTTTTTAAGCTGTTCAAGAAAGCCAGTCAAATTATTATCCCTCCCCCAAAAGTGTGGCAGGAAATCCTTTTATTTTTTTCCCCAAATTTTAGATTATTTTGGTTTGTTTAAACCCACCTCCCGGCAGAGTATCAAAGTCAATCACGAAGGCGAAAATTAAAAACCCAAGACTTTTGAAGAAATTCTAGTTCTATGAGAATGAACCGTGTAATAATGTAACTATGAGACAGTATTCCCGTTAATGAGTCATGTAAAAGCCCATCACAAATTCATCCTCTTAACAGTGCAATAAATCATTACCCCTTTGCCTACATCAGCTGGCCCAAGTGTGTGCATATTTTCGGCACATTTAAGAGACAACGTCATAAATGTCTCCTAGACGCAGACTTTAAGCACTGGACCGTGCGGTCATGCGGGTGCTCATAAAGCTCATATTATGCTGCCCAGCAGAGCATAGCTTGTGATCTTGGGGCACCTGTAATTTGACGGCCTGCGAGTAAGGCACTTTGCGTTTTCTTGCTTTTTTCAATATTTAAATTTTGGAATTCGACAAAATAGTTCTTAAGCACAAGCAACTATTACCACAGATTCACTGTTCACTAATCCCATAATCCATGAGGATCATAGGGGCGCATCATCAGGTGCCTCCATTTTCCACGGTTTTTTTGCAAGCGCCTGAGTTTGGGCGAAGGATTTCCCTGTCCACTCCGCAATGTTGTCGGTCCACCTCTTTCTTTGCCTTCATCTCTTTCTCTTCCCCTGCACAGTTTCCTGATGATTGGTCTTGGATAGGCCAAACGATCTTCCTTCATGGCCATACCATTTCAGTTTTCTTTGTTTCACAGTAGACAGCAAGTCTTCACTATGACTCATATGTTGTTTCACTCTACTGTGCACTTCCTCATTTGTGACATGGTAAGTGTATGAAAATGCCAAAGAGTCGTCTGAAGCACCTCATTTCGGCTGCTTGGACCTTCCTCTGAAGCTCTGCCATCAAGGTCCATGATTCACAAGCGTACAGGAGGACGGAGATAACGAGGTCACAGAGTGGTGTGAGTTTGGAATAGACAGGAGACGTTTCTATCTTTCCATATTGGTCTTGAATTTGTAAACGCCCCTATTGTTTGTGCAATTCTTGCATGGACTTCTGGCTTGGATCCTTCTAGGCTGATGATAGCACCAAGGTACTTGAACTGGTCGACTGTTTCGAGCTGTTGACCACTGACCGTAATTCTGATTTTGATGGGTTCGTCACTATTTCTCAATATCTTTGTTTTCTCGGCACTAATTTCCATGCCGTATCTGGTTGATGTGTCATCCAGTCGTTTCACCAGTATGACGAGTTCTTCATTTCCAGCCAGTCCGTCAACGTCATAGGCAAACCTGAGGTTCGTGACATGTAAGCCCTTCTGTGTTTACTGCCAGTAAATCATTTTTGTGTGGTAGATGCGTTAGATATACATCAAATCTTCTCTTCGAGTTAAAATCTGAATCTGACGCTTTCAAATGGGGAGAAATGGAGGTGAACATAAAGGGAAGGTACATCAATAATGATTACAAGATTTTAGCAGTAACTTCCCTTCTAATTGGTACCAAAACAACCTCTTTTAGTTTTAGTAGAGGTTTTACGGCGCTCACAACTGCATAAGGTCATATGAGCGCCAGAAGATTAGAGGTGTTACAAGAGAGTAACAAACATAAAAAAGAAGAAGGGGAGATAAGGACGATAGATGTTTGATAGGAAAAAAGAAGCAGCAAACCACACCAGAGCACCCACCAACCACCCGCAAACAATTTCTGTCACAGTCCTGTAAATTCTACAGGCCATAGGCACAGCGCTAAACGGTTCAGGCCTGTAAATTCTACAGGCGCCGCAGGAAGAGGTTAAGAAACAGAAATTTTTTTTAATTCAAAATATTTGGCAAGTGCCATTGTATCATCCGGCCGACAATCATCATACTGAAATGACTGATTGGTCACTCCACTGATACCCAAATACATATATATATATATACATATTTCGAATCAAAGCTTACTCACTTCACCCACAGAGATAAATGTGTCCTCCCTCTGCCCTCCTTCATCTGTTTCTTGCTGTATTGATGACCTATCCTCACGTGTTTTGAGCTTAAAGCCCATGGAACTTTTTAGGTCAACATTGTTGTTCATCACCTGGAAAAAAAAAGGAAATATTTTCATTTGAACAAATACTCCTCCATGCAATGGAGCAATGATCAAGCCTTTTCTCGAGAATTATTCAGACCCCATCATACATAAAAATAATTAACCTGAAAGGCAAAGCAGCTGCATTCTAAAATTAAAACAATGAAATTAAAACATTTGCAAATACAACAGCAAAATTATTAAACCTTCGGACTCAAAGTCCTCGAGGACCTACATTACACTAAATTTTCAGAAAAAGATACAGAGTAGGTAGCGTAAACACGGCCTCGCGGGCACTCGCGGCCTTCGGACCGCGTGGTATCGGTAAAATCGGGTTAATTCCGATCGCTGTTTCTTTGCTCTTTCGCTATAAAACACCAAATGCCGTACACCTTGTAAAAGTTCAGCTTTTCCTCGTTACAATGGTGTAAGTTGTTTATATATCCGATTATTAGGAGCTGGAGAATCGCAGACGAATGCGAGGTCGGCCGGTTGAAAAATTGACACGCGTGCATTCAAATGCTTCACGGAACGAGGGATGTTTAATTACCGTCTTTTCATTGACAAAGAACTGTAGAGCTTTAAACGGGCTTTCCCGTGATGTAAGTTTAGCCTTTGGCGTCTTTATAGAAAGCTTTTAAAAATACCGTCAAAATGTTTAAAGATCACTTTTTACACAAAATATGTAAAATACCGGCTTATAAAAATAATTAATTAAAAGATCAGTTCATTTCCTATTAGAATAAAGTAATTAAATTGGAATTATTTTACATCAATCCTTCCGCGAGACTCAGAAAGCATGTGACCCCGCACGCGGGGTACACTACAGTATAGAGCCGACTCGCTCGCCGCGGGGGCCAGTGCGACGCCGGCCGGGTCAACGCTCGGTGTTTTTGTCGAAATAACGACAGATATCGTGTTTGAGGTGATAAAGTACTGATTTGTAAAGATCTCACAGTCTTGAAAAAAATTATGCCCCATATAGTTGTTATAGTGATTGTACTCTGTTAATGTGGAGATGTTTAGTGCACTTGTTACTTTTTTATTGTCTGTCAAACATGGGGTTGCAGCCAGTGACTGACTTTAACAAATTTGATCAAATTTTAAACAACTACAATTTTCTTAAAAATTGACGGAGAGGTTAAAGAATGGTACCAAAATGCTCAGTGGATATAGGCCTTCCAAATGGAACAGATAAATTTGGCATACAGCTAGTTTGAAAATTTAGTTTCTGGTACCTATACAGAGCAATATTTTTTTTCACAACCTCCCTCCTTAAACCCAACCACACACAAAATATCATGCACAGACAAAAAACATTTAAAACAACAAGTATACAAAACTCATCTAACAATACTCCCATGCAGAGAAAATCTTGGCAGACGCCACATATTGCATTTGAGCCATATTGTCCAAATACCAGTGGGGTTTTTCTTTTCATCAATTAAGGGTTATTCAGGGTATACTGAAATGAACATTAAACTGACTCATATAAATCCAACCTTTACGCCACACTTTCCTTCAGAGATATTCAGGATACACAAAATTTTCGCTGATTGAACTTACGTTTTGTAAAAAATTTAAGTTTGTCTTTGTTTACATATTACATAGCAGTCAGATTTTCAAAATCAAAATCCAGACTCAATCCACAAAGGCTGGTCAAGATGGTGGGCATAAAGAAAAAAACCCTTGTAAACCCTTAACACATATTTTTCTAAATTCAATAAATCATTGCTAAATAGGTAACTATGGCAAGGGAAACAACTATATCTGACCTATCTGCTTGTACTCATCATTATTCTCAAATCCGGTCTTAAAAAGTAGATCATAGTTTTTCAGCATCAGCAAGTTCATGAGGAGCAGTACATGAAAACAGAGAGTACGTATTTCCTAGTAGGAAAACGTGCTCCCATACTCAGACTCTACTTAAGTACTAAAGTACAGTATGACATGCTGGTTGACAATTATCTGTACGGATAACTTCAAAGTTGACTGACTTGTACATTCTTTGTGTCTTCATTAACTTCATATGCTTAAATTTTTTTTTTTTCATTTGAAATCCAGTAAGCTGGCAAATTTGCTCATAAAAATGGTAGATAAATTTCACACGAGCAGAAGTATGCGCCAGAAGCACGAGATTACACAGCAGCCGCGGCCACTCCAAGAGTATCTATCTTAAGTCACGGAATGTCATCATGTCATGACCTACAAGACTCATGTTGTCACTGTCACAAGTAACACATATCTGTGTTGCCATAGCCCCAACTGGAGATGGTTACAACAACTGGTTAGCAGTTAACTGTTTAGATCATGTTATTCCAACATTCCTCTGCTCTTTTGAGTCACAAGGTGGGCACTCTCTGTCCCACTCCCCAGTGGTGTCATCTTTACAATTACAGTGTCACCGAAGGTTCCAAAAGTTTGCACAAAGTCTCATACTATGGCAGTGACATTGTCAGTATTAGTACCTAAACTACTAGGCCAAGATGAGTAGGTAGAGGGAAATAGATGGAGATACAAATGGTATGGGGGTTGTGTTTTTGTGTTTGCATCTGTATGTTTAGTCTCTTCTTAATATGAGTGTGTGCCTAGAGTAAGGTGCCAAAAGTCGCCCTGGACTTTTTCGAGCTAGTGGCTGATAATAACAAAAATCACTTTTTTAACCAAAATGTGTTTCCATTTTTAAAAAATGATATTTCTTGTTTTTCACGAAACCTGATAAGAACAAAACAGCAAAAACTAATTTTTTTGTCTCTGGTAAAATAAGTATGCAAACGGATTTAAGTGGATTGCTTACGACACAGATGATGTGCTCATCCATAGTTTTCATGAAACAACTCAACTTTACAACTGGAAGAGACAGCCCAACACTTGCTTAGATTTTCCCATGTCCCCTATCAATCTCGTCACATGCGGAATTCCCAACTTTTTTACCCATGAGATGCTTCAGAGACAAATGCCACAATGCTAAATTATTTTGTGGGTCATCATTGTTATGTACCAGACAAACTTTACGCAAAATTTGTTTCCAAATGTTCTGATTTCTGCAAAATATGTTTTCTAGACCTCATATCAATTGTATCTGGATCCATCTTCAGTTGAAAATAGAAAAACAACATCTTATTTCACAAAATAAGTAAAACTGATGTATTTGATGCTGCCTGTCTTGTACATAACTATGACGACATAATATCTTGTTGTTTTTAAATACAAAACACCACTTTATTCACTTTTCCTGCTTGAGTGTTTGTTAATATTTAATATAAATGCAGCTGGTTCTGGCATGAAATAGTACTATGCAATTCTTATTTTTGTCCTCTAACTTTTGTCATCACTGTTATGTACAGATCAATTAATCTTTCAACAACAGAAACCCTCATATCTCAGAAACCGTTGGACTACTTGTACCGGCATTGATGACTATATGCACGGACGAATTGCGTAAGCATGGACAAAGATTCAAACAAACAAATCAACATTTGTTTTTTGCCTCCATGACCCTGATGAGGCCTCCACCTTTTGGCAACAGCTTTTTTAGAATCAAAGCTTACTCACTTTATCCAAAGGAGGTACTTCCTTCACACGCCTTCCTTCCCCTTTCTCTTGCTTCAATGCTGGTAACAGATGTGACTCACACCCTTGTGTCTCAACTTCAGTTTCATCAAATTCTGAGTTGATCATCTTCCTTTCCCGTACCTGACAAAAGAGGTGAATATGAACAGCTGAACTAGTACACCTCTAAGCAATGACCTAAATGTTTCTACAGAATTATACAAGAATATCATTAGATACAAAAACAATTAAACAGAAAGGGTAAGCAGCTGCCCCTCCCTGTCAGTATCAGTATAGCTAAACGAGGTAGTAAAACAGTGAAATCAAATGTTTGTTAATACTGCATCTGCATCCAAGCACTAGGTGACGTAAGCCTAGGCGTCACTTGAAACCAAATCTGAACACCCTCGTGATTCTAGACCAAGCATAAACTGAGCACCCACCCCCCCTTTTGAATGTTATATTTTGAATTATTTTAAGGGCAGGGTATAATAAAAACAAACGAAGAAAATTGATTTTTGGGTGTTAAAATCTATTCTTGAAGAACGTTTTCTCTCCCCTGCTATGTTTTACCATTGAATTCCATTCATGATATGATGTAAACTGAATGCCAAATTGGAAATGAATTTTCTATAAATAAATACATTAAAAAAATCTTTTTTTAAAAGTTTGTATGTGTTCTTACGTTTGTTAACCTTAAAAGCTAATTTTCTCAAAATTATATTTTTATACCCTACCTCACAAAATGTACTATATCTCAAAAACTACTTCAGATATCTAAAAAATTCAAAAACCCCTGTGTTGAGCATTGAATTTCCTATAAGGTACAACCCTTCATTCAAAATGGTCAAAATCCGACTTTTGGTACCTTTCTTTAATCTTTAGGCACTCACACATATGTGTGCACTTATGTCGATTATAGTCGAACATACCCTGTTTAATATACTTTTATCCCATGGATTGTTTTAAACCGGATCTCTTATTAAAAATAATAAGTACCATGACTTGTGGGTTGACCTGTTACCTGTTGGACAACTCACCGAGTTTTAAACTGTTTCACTTAAAAGATGTGCTTTATCTCCACCCTAACTGAGTTTCATTCCATCTCAATCATTGATATCCAACAGAGAATAATAATACACATGTATCCTGCTTGAAGCGCTATTCCTACCTCTACGTGGTAAGCAGGAGTAAGTAAAACACTGTGCGTGAAATAAAGTAAAATACACACACACACAATGCTCAGAGCTATTGAATGAGCATTCACCAGTTTTGATACCCCACTACTGTCATTACTTTAAATTATTTGATCACTAAAGGGGGGAAGGCAAGTTCATGATAAAACTTTCCGCACGCAGAATTGCGACATCATGGCGGGCAAGTTCCATTGCGTCCGTCATGACTCCTGGGTATTATGAGGTGTTTTCAGAGTGCTGAACTGATTAACCAAATGACTGAGCAGGTTTTTTTGTCAGTGTGGGCTAATAGCTTATGACGAGCAAAGACTTCTTAACCTCGATGACCAATGATAATGGACTCTTCTTTACTTGATACGGGTGGTTGGAGGGTGCCACTGGAAGGTCCTACTTCCTTTCTTTTCATCTGATATTTCTGTCTATTTGTCTTGCTTCATCCTTGCACTATATCACCATTATTGCATTGGTGTTTTACTCTTTACTCAAACTTCACTTATCCAGGCTGGCCAACTTTTGAGATACTGAATTCTGGAATTTTGATTGCGCTAGAGTGCCACGGAGACACACTTCTGTGATAGGCTACTAAAGTTACTAAAAAAAACACCCACACCGTTTCGGGAAAGACGATGGAAATTGGGGAATTTCCCGAAAAATTCGGGAAGGTTGGCAAGCCTGCTTATCCAATCCTACGTCTCAAGGTCTAGGTTGATCCATTGCTCCTCCCCTTTTAACCATCTAAACTATATAGCTTTCCATCACTGACCCTGTTTCCTGCTTACGTCGCAACACATCAATGTGTAGAGACCACATCAATTAAAATTTGAAGGACAAAAGGCAGGCTCACTACATCATTAGATGATCATATTTCCCAAAGGCGATCGGACAGTCCCCTGAATATGGGTGCCAGTCTGTCTAGAAAATCTAGGTGCAGAGCTGAAAGAAAAGTGCAATGTCAGGGAAACAAAAGCACAGAAGAGTTCAAAGTTCGACATGATCCCATCCGATGCAGCCTTGTAGGCGCTATCCACCCAGAGGGCTATGTACATTCAGAGGAAGGCCTCCAATGCAAGTGTACAGTACTTGGGGAAAACAAACACAGCACCTCAGTGTGATCTTATGTGGGGCAAACACTGTACTCATTAATTGAGATTTACAATAAAAATGTGATCACATTCACGAGAGTGGATAATCTGTGATGCAACTGTCAGTGCAATGATCAGAAATTTTTGCTCCTTGATTGATCAGCTGAGCACACATGAGTTGTTCAATAAATTGTGATCTGAAATGCAGAATTTTATTCAAATTTAGTCCCTTCAAAGGGATCTTAGACATGACTTTTGTGTAGTAAAAGCGTTGTTTTCTTTAAACAGCTGGATCTTAAGCGAACCGGGATCATAAGTGGTGGGATCTAAAGCAGAGATGTTGTAACCCTGACCTCAAAGCAAGAAAAGCTCAAATTGAATCAACTAGGTTTGGGTCAGCGGTATCCCCCATAAAGACATAACTGTAAGTTTCGTGACTTATTACACAAAAGATGACGTTGGAAAGCATCCATGCCATGTGTCATGACACCTTTCCTTACTTACCTTAAAAACTTTTCCTTGACCACCAAATCCTATATCCTTTTCGCTTTCGAGAATATATGGTGGTGGTCTAAAGCTACCTGAGAGTACAAACAAAAAAGACAACATGAAATTTATATATCTGATTACTAAACCAATGTGGCACACAATCAATTAAAGTAGAAGCCAGACCCGACCACAGTTCTCTGTTACTACTATTTCTTTCCTTTGCATGCCCGTCCTTCTCAAAAGGAATTCTCCTGGGGTCAAAATACCTTTCGGTTCCCCTTCCCTGGATTTACCATGCAATGTTGGGTATAATTTTGAAGACTTGAATTTTCCAACTTATCACGACTTAGCTTCTGAAGTTTTGGGACTTCCTGTCTTCATCTTTGCAAGGCTGGGGGGAAGTTTTCTTTATAAGTGACATATGACAAATAGTGTTTAAAACGTATGTTCTATTTCATGCATTCCTGAAATATATATTGATATAATAATAAACGAACTTCTTTTACCCCCTGATACATGGTTGAAATGTGGCACTAGAGCCGTGATGGAGAATCAGCAAGCCCTGATTTTATTCACGCGAGGGAGATTAAAAAGAGAGAGAGAGAGAGAGAGAGA